AAAGGCTCTTCCCTTACTCAGACCAAGGCAAGAAAAACACAAGCAGATGCTAGGAAAGCATGGCGAGTGTAGGAAAGGCTCTCGGGGGGCCTTTTCATGGTGCTGTGTCGTAGGGAAACCCCACCATCACCTTAGGGAAAGGGAAAACCCCCATTCTCTATTTTTGCTAAGCTCCTTGAAGAGAAGTCCCTACAATTACCTCTGGGACCTATGTGTGAGAGTGAGCTTAATGACTGGAATAGTTTTCCTACCCGTTGCAGAAACATGTATATTTAACATGGTCCTAGGAGAAGAGAGAAAAATTGTTCTCCTTAACCTCTGAGGACAGGACAAGACACAATAGGCTTAAATGGGAGGTTGAGTTTGGACATTAGGAAAAACTTCCTGTCAGGGTGGTGAAGCGCTGGAATAAATTGCCTGGGGAGGTTGTGGAATCTCCCGCATTGGAGATATTTAAGAGCAGGTTAGACAAATACCCGTCAGGGATGGTCTAGACCATGGGTTCCCAAACTGCAGGGGGCGTGACCCAGCCTCCCTCCCATCAAGTTTTGCTGCCCTGTTCAGTTTTTTCTTTTCTTTTTTTTTCTTTTCTGCTCAACAAGTTTTGCTGCTATTTGGGGGGAAGGGAAGGCGGGGCATGAGGGTTTTTCAAAAATCAAAAAGGGGGGTGGTGAAGCCAAAAAGTTTGGGAACCACTAGTCTAGACGGTGCTTGGTCCTGCCATGAGGGCAGGGAACTGGACTTGATGACCTCTCGAGGTCCCTTCCAGTCCTAGTACTTTAACTCTCCCGTGTATCAGTGGGCTAGTTTCCTGTGTTATATTTCCTGCAACTCCATTTCTTCTTCATTTGTATTCTGCTTCGCATTAGATGCGGCAGCAATGCAAGGCACCTACAGGCTTGTATCCTGTAAGACATTAGCTTTGGCAAGTTAGTGTAAGTCTTAGAATTCACATCTCGTTCCCAGGGCCCACCCGAGACAGTTCCCCCGCTCACTGACGAGGAGTGCACTGGGATTTCTGATCATAGGGTTTACGATGTGGGGTTCTCACCCTGTGGTGCTCCACTTCCAGAGTGCATGCGCCCCTTGAGAAGTCTCGCTAGCAGCTGTGGCAGCCTAAGAGCAGGGCCTGCTGAAGCCTAATGGAAGGCAGATACCCAGCTCCCCGTGTATGCAGTTTTATGTTCCCAGGAGAGGTTGCCAGAGACTGTGGCCCAGCAGTTCAACACCTGAACCCCCTCTGTCATCAGCCTGAAGGGGAGGCTGATCAGAACCCCTGAGGCCAGTTGAGGCCAGACAAGTGCACCATAAATATCCCTCCCTCAGGCAAGGAGGAGGGGAAGGAGTGGAGGGACGGACGAGAGGAGAAGGGAAGGAGAACAGAGCAGCCCAGCACAAGAGACTGACCCTAGACAGCCAGCAACAAAGCCTGACCCAAGGCATTGGGAGGAGGCACTCAGGAGGAGTTGGGGAAGTAGCCCAGGGAGGGGCCACTGTTCCATGGGGCAAAAGCCAGGCCTCACAACTCACTCGGGTCTACCCCCCTCCCCATAGGGCCCTGGGCTGGAACCCGGAGCAAGTGAGTGGGATCGGGTTCCCTCAACCCCCTTCTGGCTGGTGGGCTGCCTGCAAGAAACAGGAAAGGCCCAGTGGTCGAACGTAGGGGCCGACCTCCCATGCCCTGGACTTGCCTATGATGAAAAGGGTTGGGACAGCAGGATGCCCTTGCCTTCGTGGCAGTGTTAGGGACACCGCGAGCCTCTGAGTCACACGAAGAAAACCCCGCCAAGAAGCGCAGAACCTAGGGGCCTAGCCCCAACCGGTGCCAGGGCGGGATCATAATCGCCGTGTGGCGGGGTTTTTCCCTATTTTTGTGAGAGCACAAAACCAAAACAGAACAAAAACACCCCACCAAAAACCCCAAACCAAAAAAAAATTCCAGGGAAGTAGGGTGCACTGTGGTGTTGGGTTTGCTGGGTACCGCACAATGGAAGACCTGGTGAAGGCATTAGTACAGGCCATGCAGGACGCCTCCAGGCTACAGCAAGAGACAAACCAGTGACTTTTGAACCAGGCGGCTGCAGAGCGAACTCTCCTCCGAGAGGTGGTGGACCGGGTAGGGGCGCACGCTGACCGACCCCCCCAAGGCGATGGGCTCGGTAGCCTCGGAAGCCAGTAACTGCCTGCCCAAGATGACGCAGGGAGATGACAAGAGGCTTTTGAGCGGACCACCCACCGTGAGGCATGGCCAGAGGGGCAATGGCTCAGCATACTCGAGCCATTCCTCTGGGGGGAAGCCCTGATGGCCTACTATGACCTGCCTGCTGAGGCTGGAACTAGCTACCCCTAGCTGAAGAAAGAGATCCTGGCCCATGCTGGGGTAAATGCTGCGGCCTGGGCCCAGAGGTATGATTGGAAATATCAAGAGGGGAAACCCCCCAGGGCCCAACTGTTTGAGTTACTCCATCTCATCCGGAAATGGCTGCAACCTGATGTATGTAGCCCAGAGGAGAGCCTGGAGACTCTCATCAATCAGTTTAGTCGGAAGCTGCCAGCCGATCTCCGCATGTGGAGAGGCCATCAGACCCCGCTACCTTTGAGGAGATGCTCTCGCTAGTGGAGCGACCGCTAGCCCCCAGGGAACTGGCTGGGCCTCCTAGGGAGGTAGACTACCAATTCCGCCCCCAGGGGCTCAAGTGCCCGGGGGACCCAAAACGAGGGGGGAGGGAGGGAGTGGAGGCCCACGAGGGTCAATGGGGGAGGAAAAGACTCTCAACAAAAGGACTAGCCCTGAGGCCAGGCCCTTGACCCCTCGTAGGCAGAGGAGAGCGTACCGGTACTATGGGTGTGGGGAATGGGGCCCCAACCTCGAGGAGCCTATCCAGTGCTATCTTGGGAGCTGGGGGGGACCCATGCTTCCTGCTTAGTCTCGTGGGGGTTCGGCTGCCCCTCAGTAGAGACCGTGGCGCTCGGATTCAGGGAGTGCGGTCACTCTGATTTCCAGGAAGCCCAACCAGATACTACCGGCAGGGAGGACTGGGGTCACCTGTGTACATGGGACCGTCAATTTCTACCCCAATGCCCTGGAAGTCCAAGGGACCCGGGTTCAGGTACGGGCTGGGGTCACCCCCATCTTTCTTACCCAGTGTTGATAGGCAGGGACTTCCCAGGGTTCAGGGGTTTTCTTCCCCAGCAGGAGCCTGGGGAAGCCCTGGAGACAGGGGAGGCCAATACTGAACTGTGTTCTGCCCCCATGTTTGCGGACTGGGACCAGGAACTTTTCCCTGCCCCTGGAAAGGACAAAACGACAAAGAAGCAGAGGAGAGCAGCCAAGGCTTTAACACACACATTTTGCTCCAGGCCCGGAGGGGCGCTTGTGCGGGCCAAGGCACCCAAGTGATGCTGGGGAAGGTACAGAGTCTCGGGAGAGCGAGGACCCTGAAGGAACCAGAGGAAAGGGGGAATCCTGGGCCTAACACGGCCTCTGATGAAGGCAGGGAGAGACACCCCCAGGGACCTGAGTTGTCCAACCCTGGGAGGGCATCCTTTGGGCGAGACCAGGCAGACGACCCTAGATATGAAAACGTGAGCAGGGAAGTAGCCGAATAGATGGGGTACCTGTAGCGGGGAAAACCCGGGGGCCTGGTCCCTATTTCATACTCAGAAAGAACCTCCTGTACCACGTGGCCAACATACAGGGGCAGGAGGTGCATCAGCTCTTGGCCCCCCAAAGGCACCAGCGGGCTGTTCTGGACCTGAGTCATAGTCACTTATTTGGAGGGCATCTGGGGGTGGAGAAGACCCAGGCACAAATCCTGCACCGGTTCTTCTGGCCGGGGGGTGTACAAGGGCGTCCGGCGATACTGTACCTCCTGTCCTGAGTGCCCGTTACAGAGTCCTCGCCCTAGGGCCCCGCTAGTGCCATTACCCATCGTTGATGTCCCGTTTGAAAGAATCGTGATGGACTCGGAGGGGCCGCTGGAGAAAACAACTCGGGGTCACCAATACATACTGGTCGTCCTCGACTACGCTACTAGACACCCGGAGGCGGTTCGGCTACGAAGCATGGCCTCCCAGACCTTTGCAAAAGAGCTGGTGGCGATCTTTACCCGGGTGGGGCTCCCAAAGGAGATCCTTACTGACCAAGGGACTCCTTTCGTGTCCAAGCTAATGAAGGACTTGTGTTTTCTGCTGCACGTCCAGACCTTGCGCACATCAGTTTACCACCCCCAGACCGACGGGCTGGTGGAAAGATTTAACTGGACCCTGAAAGCCACGATTAGAAAGGTGGTGAGCGCAGATGGGAAAGATGGGGACCTGCTGCTGCCCTCTCTCACGTTTGCAATTCAAGAGGTACCCCAAGCATCTACTGGATTCTCCCCATTCGAGCTACTGTAGAGGCGGAACCTGCGTGGCATCTTGGATATCGCTAAAGAGGGCTGGGAAGAAGTATCAGCTGAGGGGAAGAACATAGTGGACTGTGAACTACAAATGAGGGATCGCGTAGCCCGAGTTACCCCAATTGTGAGGGAGCATACGGAGAAGGCACAAGCAGCCCAACACATATGCTATAATCGCCAGGCCAAAGTTTGGAAATTCCAGCCAGGGGACCGGGTCATGGTGCTAGTGCCCACTACCGAAAGTAAATTATTAGCTCAGTGGCAGAGGTGATCGAAGCAGCAGGAAAAGTAAATTATAAAGTCCGGCAACCAGGGCACTGGAAACAAGAGTAAATTTATCACATAAACCTGCGGAAGCCCTGACAAGAGCGCGAGGCTTGTGTGATTGCTCAGAGGGAACCAGTCCTCCCGACAGAAGCCCTGGAATCGATGAAGATCGGCCCTGAGTTGTCACCTGAGCAGAAGGAGGAAGTAATTGAAATGATTCTCAGAAACCAAGGTGTGTTTTCTGTGAAACCAGGCTGAACATCGGAGGCCGTGCACCATG